AACATTTTTTGTAATTTTTCGCTCTAGGCCAAATTTGTCATATGTCAATGTCAATAAGTCAGTGTCAAAGTCAAAACACTAGGATTTTTGAAAAAAGCAATAGATAATTAAAGCTACCTATTCAATTTTTCAATACAAATATAATTATAAAAAAAAATATTTCGATATTAAAGTTCAATCGACAAAACAGCCTTCTAGTTATAAACCGGGTACAAGAATAAAATGGAGAGACATATCCAAGAGGTCAGTTGGCGCCGCCAGCCGGAGTGTCCTCGGCAACCCCAGTTATAATCACAACTTTCTCTTAAAAGTATTAAAAAGAGTGATTTTTTCTTTAAAAGAAAATTGATGCACTTCAACAAAATCATATTGAGTTGCGATCTTTCAAATGATTACCATAATTTTAGATTAATAAAAGATTGCTCTTTTTTCTAACAAGGCGCATAATTTTGCAATAATATTATAGTTAAGTATGATTTTAGTACCTAGTTCAAAAACTGTGAGGGCGAGTACATTTTTCTTATCTCTATCTCTATCATAGTTTCATGCCATAATTTTGTGAAAATTATATCAACGTCAGTTATTTGAGGTAAGTAAATAAACAATTTACAATCGTTTAATTCCGCCTTCGATTTTAGTATTCAATGTTTAATGAAGATCACAAGAAATTCGAAAGGGTATTATAAATTTTTATCTTTTTAACTATAAATAGCGCATATATTAATATTGCAATTACGGACATCTAAACGTTAAAAAAAAGAAACAGGTTTGCATCATTCTCAAACTTGAACTTGTATTTTCAACTTAGTCGTTATTTAACTAAAGTCGATTTCAACACGTCTCATTAAGTTGCACGTTACGTAAACCTGAGGGACGTCACGTTGGCACACGTACTGCAAAATGCCATTCATAATATCAACTACGATGTTTCCTCGTGGTTTTTGTTTACTAACTTAGCTTTATAAACCTGGAAGAGCCAATGCCAATCTCGTAAATCAAAATCTTATCAAAAACGTCTGGCAATTAAATAGTGTAACGTTTTACTTAATTTGAACTATATTCGTAAAATGATAAAAAACTAATAAAGTTGTTCACCGGCGAAGCGCTTTTTTAAATTTCATAGTTGTCAAGCGTCGCCCCACAAGGCTCGAGGATTTGCTCGTTACTTACACGTCGTTAAACAATACGCTTACGACGATGTTTACTTCGATTATTTTTATTTTTTAATAAAAGGCTAGATAACGCAAGGTGGAAAATTTTCGAATGATTTTTTTTAAGTCTCGAATCTTCTTTCAATTCAGCCACGTTCAGATGTATCTTTTTTCGTCGTTAAAAATAACACGGATTTTGGAACGACGATAAAAAAGGGCGCTGAAAGACAATGGGCGTTAATCGTCGTTTAATGTTTAAAATATTTTATGATTAATCTTACAATTTTCAACCTTTACCTACGTTATGGCTGGAAGTTCATACGCACATGCAAATAATATGACATATCGTGTTATATCACATGAAACGGGTGTGAATACGATGTCGCAAAGAATTACTTGTTATCTAAGACTTAGGTCATTGAACCATAAAATCCGGCATTAAAAAAAAACAATCTATATATAAAATTTATAAAATTGGGAGTGTCTCTATGTAATAACGACGATAACATTTCATATTTATGTAGCTTATAGCATAAAAAATCCTTTTTTTTTATTTTGTCTTTTTCGGATAATCTTCGATATGGCTGAACAGAACGTGATGGGATTTTGACTGGTAGGTAGCTGATATATACGTAAATGTAATAGGCAAATTTCTTAAAATTAAATCAGCGTTGAGGAAGTCGCGCAAAACCGCTGGTAAATAATAAAATCACAGAAATGCAGTCACGAACTGTACAGATGAATAATGGTGATACGAAACTCAATAATTTTCTGAACATAATTATTTTTATTTTCATGTAAAAAAAGCTACTAAGACATTCGCCATTGCTTATATCAAACTGAAACTATGGAAATAAAAAAACACTGTTTAAAGAAATTTAAAAATATGTACATGGATTCGAAGTTTTTTTTTTAAATGTTTGCGTTGATGACTTTTGCATATAAAATTTATTATATCAGTTCAGTGTTTGCAAAGTTTACTCATTACAAAGATACGAATATACGCTTATCTAAATTCTTAATGCATAGTTCAATAAACTTTAATGAAAAGGTCTTCATCTTTTTATAGAATGGATGTTAGAAAAGTAAATCTACTGAAGATTTTAAATCTATTAAGAGGCCATTTCTTATCCCGACTGTCTCCCTGTCTAGCCTATGTCGTCGATCAATACAATGTTATACCTTTCTATATCAGACGCTATGTGGATTTACAAGTTGCATGAACTTCCTACTCAATTTTACTTACTAATATTATAAATGCGAATGTTTTGATGGATGGTTGTTTGAATTACAACAGCAGCATGAATCTCGTTCAAATTTAGAATTGTTTATGAATTAATTTTATTTTAATTCCGTGCGAACAAAGTCGTGGGTGACAGCTAAGTACCTAATCATAGAAATTTTATAACCTCAAATTAGGAAAATGAACATTAAAATTGTAAATGATTAAAAATAATCTATCTGTCTAATCTATCTAGGATGCATCTTAATCGCGTTTAATATTTATTTTGGAAACTACACAAATACTTAAGATCACGCTGCTGCATAATTGTTGAATTATATCGTTGTTACTATGGATAAGAATAGAATAATAAGTTTTTTTTTTATTGAAATCTCTATAAAGTTTTTTATCTCAACTACTTAATGTACTAGTCATTGACTAAGCCATGATTTAGAAGTATAGACCAACAAGGCTATCAGGAAAGCACGAATATTTTCGATCTAACCTAACAACTGAACCGATTTTGACAAGCGTCTACGTTCCTAAATGGGATGTTTTCCAGAATATTCTATTATAAAATAATAGACAGTTTTATGTAAAGATGACCCTACTTTGTGTCTATAGGTTAAGTCAGTCCAGTTTTGTTATTTTTAAATTAAACAATTCAATTTTTAAATCAAGGTTAGGTTATTTTTTTATCGGTAACATTTTTAAAATATAGTATTCAAACGTTAATTCAATTATTTCATGAAGAATAAGAGGGATGTGGTATACAATTTTGTCACTCATTTAAAGTGTCAAAATTACAACAAAAATCTACGGTCGATAGTCTATTAAAAAACAAATAAACTTCCTTGTTATAAAATACATTTAAATTAACATAAAATAATGATTTAATGTTTGATTAATATCACGTTATGTCACATTAATAGTCACTTATCAGCTTATATTTTTATTGCGAGTACTTAACAACATTTATTTATTGTGTGAGTTAATATTTTTCTAGACACTGTTATTACGTTATTTTCTTTTCGAGTTTAATGACATTATATCTCCTGTGATTTTGTCTACGTAACGTGATGTCGTCTAAGAACAAATACGATTGGAATTATGTAGATTAAAGGAACGCGTCCATTGGCCCGCCCGACGCACCGCACGCACGACCCGCAACCGTGCCGTCCGCATCGAAAGACCGTTTAATCCGTGCATGCGGTGCGTTCGGCGCAGGCCAAAAGACTCTTACCTTAACACGTTTTTGCGTATTTGATACGCATATCTTGTGTATGTATTTCATAGTGACATTGCGAATACCAACCATAGGACACAAGAGTTACGAAAGTTCAACTTAAGCAAGAAGTATTTTTCCTAAGCAATCGCATGCGCAAAATAATTGTCATAAAACTACAAACTTACAACGTGACAACTTACACATCAACTATGAATTTATAAAATTTTAATAAATGTGGTCAATAGTTAATATTTACCTGTATTCTACGCAAATATAATCGCGATGCAATAATGTTCCTTATTCATAATGTATACAGCTATCTTCCTCTAAAATTTCTTAATCATGTCATTTCTAATGCAACTCATCTAGGTTTTCTTAAGTCAATCCCTAACAACATATTGTCGTTATTAATAAATATTTTATATTCAAATTGCCTACACATATATTTGTTGCACATAGTTTCGTGTCTCAAAGTATCCACGAATTGGGATTCGATAATCTATTAACAGTTGCATGACGTATCAGACATTATCAGAGGAACGTCCTTGAACCAGTTTATATATTTGATTCGCTAACCGAGGAGCCCTTATCGGCTATTCAATAGGTCAATTGTAACTATTGAGATAAATCTTAGATAGAGTATTACCTTGTCATATTACAGAACTATTAAGTTCGATGTAATGCAATATCATATATATAAAATTCTCGTGTCACAATTTTCGTTCCCATACTCCTCCGAAACGGCTTGACCGATTCTCATGAAATTTTGTGAGCATATTGTGTAGGTCTGTAGGTTTACCAGGTGGCATCGTGGTTAAGCGTTGGCTTATCAAACGTCTGAGAATCGGCCAACATCTATTTTTATTTCCCGCGCGGACGGAGTCGCGGGCGACAGCTAGTCTAATATATAAAATTCTCGTGTCACAATATTTGTTATAAAATTTTATATGCATATTCAGTAGGTCTGAGAATCGGGAACTATCTATTTTTCATATCCCTAAGTGATAAGGGTTGTCTACCTCTAATATTTTTTGTACGAATTTTACTTTTTTTTATTTTTTAATGTGACAATAAAACAAAACATACTACTTTAAATTTTCACCCTTTTATCCCATGAATTAATTTATGTGACAAAAGAATATTTCCCGGGTCAGCTTATCATTTTTGGAGTTATTAAGGTAAACCCGTTCATAAATCATATCAACGTTTATTTAAATTATGTTTAGTTTTTTTATGAATTTTGACGCCTTGTGTTGGCAGAATTGGGTGACTTGTCAAGAGATACGATGCACCCTGGTGGCCGACTGGTATCCGAGATGCATAGCTATTAATCCGTGGATGTAGAGCGTGAAATGAAGCGTTCAGGCTCAAGTAAAGCAGTATACGTATATAGGGGCTGCGATCACGGCCCGCGTTCAGTCGCCAGTCGTATCTCTACCGCTGGGGACCTCAAGCGCGCGCGTGTCCGCGCCGGCGAGTCGTCTATCGGACTTTATAAAGGAATTTCTATGTGATGTTAGTAAACAATAAGTGTATAAATAAAAAGCGAGTCTTGAACGTTTATTCATTCTCGCTGTAAACTTAATTTAGTAACAATGTCTCTTCCGGGTGTTTTTCTTTTTTCACATTACGTCGAAAGCTTTTGGGTAAGTTTTTGATTAGTTTATTTTACTTTAATTTTAATTTAGATGATAATTTTGAGTGTAATCGTCTATATAATTAATATTTATTTTTAACAAATATTTTATCAAGTATCTGTTTTAAAAAATATTATTATACTTGCGTTGTATAAATAAAAATAATGTGCTGATTATTTTTAATGAATGAATCGTCTGAATGTTGCAGTTACAATAATTCTTATTTTAAAAAATGTTCAACAATCTTTGTTTATTATTTTTCCATCGCAATTTGCGCCGGTTTTATAAGTGGCCAGGCACAAATCAATCCAAAGCATAAAATATAAAAAGCCATGCCTGTGGAAAATATAAATTATTCAATCATTTTTTGTATCCGTAGTTACATTGGAATCGCGTGTTTTGGGAAATGAATTAAAGTTGTGTTCATTAAGTTTTTAATATAACTTCTGTGTTAATGAAGTTAATTAGAAATAAAATAATACAAGGTTACATCTTTTATTTTATTTAAATTAATGTATATTATTTAAACATCGATCGGTTGGAGATATTTTAGTCGAATTGTATTCAGCTGTGGGTGGATTTAAATGTGGCTGTTGTGTTGAATTTAAAATAAATTTATTTCGTAGGCTATTAATTAAGTGAATTGAACCGATGAAGCGTAGCACTACTAGTAACGTTTACGGTTGGATCTACATTAAAGTTCACAACACCCTTTGTAACAATAACTGTTTTACACAACCTGACCTAAACGTTCATTGAAGGCTCTTTACAAACTATGATGCAGCTTACAATGTTATAATGTTTGTTTATTTATCAACATGCATAGTAATTCTCGTTCGTATTATCAATGAGCTTTCAATCTGCAGACTTTATATGGATGATCTGATTAAATAAATTATATTTATTACATTACTAGTAGTTGCCCCTGACTCTGTCGGTGCGAAATTAAAAAAAACATAACAGATAGCCTATGTGTTCTTCCAGTCTATGTTCTATATGTGTATCAAATTTCATCAAAATCCGTTTAGCCGTTCCGGATATACCTTCAAACATCCATCCATCTAAACATTCCGATTTGTAATATTAGTAAGATTTTTTATTAATAAATGAGTGGTTTGTTTCTTATATTTTGATAATTTCTTTTTCGCTAGAACAGTATCAATAAAAAAATCACCGTAAAATATTTTTTTATTATTTCAAGAATTTCGTTTGCAGCAATCAATAAGTTTTATTCCAAAATAATAGTGCGAAATACGTGGTTTTACTGCTGAAGTTTGTATTAAACATGTGGTCATCTCTTTTATTTTCGTTTTAAACTTTTCTTTTACATAATATCTGACTATAATAAGATAGTAATTTGTATTTCCGAAAGCAATAGTATTATCAAGTTATCAATGTAAGTCAAACAAGACAAGTGATAGTTAAATTATAAATTTTTACTGAAAAACGCGGATGTTTTGATAACGTCTTAAACAGACTTTTTTGTTAATGGCTGCCTACGCATAGCTACTTTTCGTTTGCGACATACGAGAAATACTCATTAGAAAAATTAAAATAGATTAAAAATACGATAAAGCATTTTTTTTTAAAGTTGACAGAAACAGAAATCGCATTTAAATTTGGATTATTTTAATTTAAAAGAAAATAAACTAACTAATTAATTTACGATATCTGGCAACTAGTACTTAGTTAAAAAGAAAAAACTTAAAAGTAAAACCCTGACACAATACAAATCGAATGACTTCTTTAAAATCAGTCAAGCTCCTCCATTAAGCATTACATACAAACATAGTTTCATAGAAACATTACCCTCATGTCAGTCGGGCAATAACCTAGGAATTTTAATTCATTAGGCTACTAGGTGGCTCGCTAACGTGATAGTAAGAAAACGTGCGATTAGTATTTTTTATCGCAATATAACGTCGGAGCTATGTACCATGAACTTTAGTGCCGGCATTAATATGATATACAGTGGCTCTTCTCGCTATCTATTCGCAAGCGCAGGTGCTTCTGTTGGTAGGCAACAATCCTCACCGTCTATTGTCTATCGGTAAAATTGACAGACAGAATGTTTGTTAATTGAGATAAATTAATCATACTAATATTATAAATTAGAAAATTTACATAGGTGGATGTTTGTTTGAAGGTATCTACCGAACGGTTGAACAGATCTTGATGAAATTTGGTACAGATGTAGAACATAGTCTAGAAGAACACATAGGCTATCAATTAAGTTTTTTTTAAACCGGGCGGGCGAAATCGCAGTCGACAGATGGTGTGTTCATAATTTTCAAATCATAAGCACGACTAGAAATTTATTTTCCTAAGGGATTGATGAGAGAAAAAAGTATTGTTTAAGCTCTGACATTTTTGTCAATCAAAAGTGTCAGACACAATAACAAAGAAAGTAGTGTGGCATATTAAAAACGTTACTAATTACTAATATTATGAATGCGATTGTTTAGATGTATAGGTTGACGTTTGTTAGAAGGTATCTCCAGCGCAACAGATCTCGCTCTAATTTGGTATAGATGTAGGACATAGTCTGGAAGAATACATAGACTTCTAAAGATTTTATTAATTTCACGCAGACATCGCGGGCGACAGCTAGTGAATATCTTATGATATTCGAATATTAAATAAGCTTAATTATTGTTTGTGTCTATTTAAGATCCAATTGAGGAGATTGAATGGATAAGTAATATATTTGATGATAAGTATGATAGCTGTATTCATATAGTTCAAGTATGTATATAACAGTAGGGTGGGATAGGGGAGATGGAGTTAATACGTACAAGCCTCACACTATTCAATAGTCTACGTAATAGACGTCTTGTGATCGCGACATAACGACGCCAACGTTGTCTACAACAATGAAAAGTAGGGTTAGAAAATAATAAGGAATAGATAATTAAAGAATTTTATATAAAGAAACTAATATATCTTTGTTAATTGGATCGAAATTTAGATGTAATTTCTATTGTTTTAATGTCTTTCTCTGCTAATATATTATAATATTATACAATATTTGGCATATATCTTTTGGTTGAAGATTTATGCATTTACAGCTTTATTGGACTTGTTTACTGTTAATTAGACGTTTATGAACGTAGGAGATGTACAAAATGTGAAAAAAATTTAGACATTAAATTTTTCTAACGTATGGATAAAATATACTTAAAATTAAATTGAACATTGAATTACATGTCTATATTTTTAAATAGATGTCGCACGCGACCGCATCCGGGCGTGAATAAGAAAAAAATAATTAGTAGCCTGTGTGTTTTTCCAGATTATGCATGCATGCCAAATTTATGCATCTATGCCAAATTTCAGCGAGATCCATGCAGCCGTTCTGGAGATACCTTGTAAGAAACATCTATACATCAAAACACTAGCATTATAATATTAATAAGATAAAATTTTAAAGTTATTTTAAGATAATTTAATCTATTGAAGCCAACTGTTGTATTTTCTGTCTCTTCGTAGTAAATATGAAATGAATAAGGCGTAGGAAGTTTATAAATTGGCGTCTGTGTTCTTAATCCGTTATGACATGGGCAGCTACGTCATTATGACTTTAATTTTGAAGTCATAATGACGTAGTTAATAGAAGAATAGATAATGTATAAAATATTTTATAATTATGTTGCATATTAACATTCAGTAAGAATGTTATCTTTAAAAAAACGTTATTTTAGAATTCAAAAGTATGTGTATTGTACATTTTTTTTAAATTCTTATCTTAATTTTTAAATTTCGTATGTAAAAATATATTTTTTTAACACTGGCTGTTTAACACAGGAAAACTACATCCAAGAATTAAAAAAAAATAGTGTGGCAGAATGAAATAAACATTAGCCTGTATTTTTTTCCAAAGAGTCACCGAAATGAATTTAATTTTAATGTGAAAATTAATTCATTCTCTAACTCATCGTACATTTTTGTCGCGGCTGATTTTTTAATTGGCGTGATAAGCAATTATTATTAATTATATTGAAGATATAAAAAAATATTAACCTTGAAGCGTAGAGTAAGCGACCGTTTGAATATTAACGCTGTTGAAAAAAAACGCTGAATATTCAACGTTTCGGTTAAATAGTTGCACGCACTGCAGTGCTCTTACAGCATACGTTTAGTGTATTACAATCCTTATAAAGACTATGATCTATTTATTATTCGACAGAATAGACATCGTAGACTGTGGGTGACGATGTTAAATGTTGGAATATTAATAGGGAAGTTTGAGTACAGAGTTTAATGGAAGAGACGAACAACAAGCAGTCATCTTCACCAAATGGTACACTAGCTAATGACTCTTGCGGATGAAAACCTTGATATTGCCGTCCACGGGTGCTGTTTAATATTATCTAAGCGTTTTTAATAGTACAATGACCAATTTGGAAGACGATAATGAAATGTGATGACCACATAAAATATAGAAGAATTTGTACGTACTATTATTAAATTTCGCAAACTGCACGCATGAAACAATTGAGAACAGTAGATGGTTGAAATGTGGTCACTGCTTTATTCAGCAGAGACAATGAAATGTTTTTTTAGCCTTAAGATAATGATACTATTCGACCAAACTGTCTAGTTTAGGTTTGTTTCTTACCACGACGATTTTTCTTAATATATTTGAAGAAAAACTTATTCGGGATCGGTCAATTAATAAACAAAGCAGCTTTATAAATATCCTAATGCAAATTGTACGATTTTTGTTTCTTTTCGTTCGCTATTTTGGGCGCGGTGCGTGCCATTGTCGAAAATGTCTTTCGCCAAATGAAATCGGATCGTTCGTTTGGTGTCGTGTTACACAAAAATGTTCACTGCTTAAGGGTTTATAACAGCTGTGAAAGCCACCCAGCTTTCGCGTCAAAATGTCTAATATTTTGGGCAACGCAGGCGGGCAGCGTACACACTAGAATGAATATTTAGATGGAACAACACTCGACTTTTTTTTAAATTAAACAATTGATGATTTTATTAAGAGACCATAGATATTT